AATTTATTGTACCCAGCTATACTATCTTCAGTCTATAACAAAGTAGAGAGATCCCCTCTCGTTAAAATTGTAGCTACCCCTATCTCAAATTATATTATTATTTTAATTATAAGACTGTGTGAGTGTGACTCAGGTTGGAGTCACATTCGTATAGGTATAGTCACAGTATTATCCGGCCATACCGATTTCGCTTCAAGCTGTTCCTTTCGGTACCGATTTGACAACTGATTCAGATTTGAATTCATCTAGAAATAGAGATAGATTTTCAGTAATATTTCCTAAACTTTGTGGTGACTTGTTCCAGTTCATTACGTTCTTCACATGCAAAAAATCTTCAGAATCTTTTTAATTATAGCATATACAATTATATTTTTGTACTCATGCATTTGATTGCATGTTTTTCTGACGAATGAACATGAGATCCAATATGAAACATTTCTAGACATTTCGCTATGATACTGTCGAAATTTTAAGTGTTTCTTCGAGTGTTTCTTCAATTGCACACGCATGCACAGGGGAGAATTGCTTTCGACTCACGGAATAAATTGAGCTTTTTGGCTACGTTACAACTATTCATTACGACAACTGTTCCTTCCGTTATAGGACATAGAAGTGTCCTCTGCTCTATATAAAGTCACTGGCCTTTTATAAATTCACTCAAAAACCAATATATCTAACAACGGAGTTTCGAGGTCTAGCTCGCTAAAATAACGTAACATTCTCGCATAATTACGAGAAATAAAGTCACGGAAATGATATGATGGCAATTTGTTTGAGAGGCAAAATTTGTCTTTTTTATCTTCTCAGTCCTCATCTCGTATGTAAAGAATACTCACATTCGCACATTGTCTCTCAAGTAAGTCATCATTTTGCATAATATCTCCATTAGTGTCGTGTGGTACCGCATGAGATAAAGGTGAATCATTTCCACCTTGTGAGTTACTCTCCGCACTTAACTCTCCTTTATTGTCTTCTACTAACTTTAACATTCCACATGAGGTGTGATTTTCGTTATAGTTATTATGAAAGCCATTAGTCCTTCTCTTCATGTGATCACGTGTATATATGTATTTGTTCGTAAGTAGCATGTGATCATCGCGTGAATGGTCACGACATAAGTAGTCCCGCTCGCATTCACTCAAGTCAACTGGTAAAGACTTGGTTCGACTAAATAGCTGGCTACGTTGGTTTGACATACGCGTCCAGTATTAAAATGAAAAATTTAAAGAGATTTGAAACATGCAAAAGTCAGGTGTACTGGCTTTGAACTGTATGAAAGATCAAAAATTGTAAAGCCAAAAATTGAGGGGGAAAAACCTCTGACTCTGTTTCTCGTTCAATTCTTATAAAAATTAGCAAATGATTGTATTTTACATAGTTCTATAGACATTCCTCGATAATTACTCTCAAATTCTGTCTCAAACGTTCAAAAACTCAGAAAAACTGGCTTCAAATTTGGCTTTAAAGATGCGGCCAAGTTAACGTTGCAGGTTTTATTAAAGTTAACTGGCTCAAGAATGTTTCATATAAAAATTCATACTATCCAAATTACTTCGGACTTGAATCATGCAGACAAACTTATCATGAAACATAATCTTCAATGAAATTTTATATATCATTGACTTTCAATTGCCGCTATTACAAGTATTCTTCGTTTTTATTCTTAAAAGCCATCACTTTCATGGCATTCTATCTGACTTATTTGAAGTAGCCTGCACTGAACCGCTGCTCTAAAGCAGCGAAGGTTCAAAGCTAAAAGTGCTCTTTGTTCGTTTCAAACAACGTTTTTTTATCGCTAAACTATACCTGAGTTTTGTTAGACCAAATATTTTCAAAGTTACGTCTTCATATCACTTGAAGGCGCAATTATATATATATATACAGTAGGAGGCAAAAGTTTGAGTCCAGTCGTTGTAGAATTCCAGTATTAAATCCTGGCAGCGTATTGGAGTTAAGACATGCGTGCTAGTGTTTCAGTACTGTAAACTATATTAATTGCACACTGTTTTGGTCCTAATGATCTAAATTATAACAAAATAAAGTTCTCATTCCTTTACACTGCCCAAGATGGGTAGGAAAAAGGGCAAAGTGATGGTGCACAAGGACGAATAGTTCCATTAAGTATTGAAGGATTCTTTCCTCGTAAGATCGCAGAAGAAGTGAGAATTTAAAAAGGTGGTATGCAACTAACCTTGGAGAGGTTCGAAGAAACTAAATCCTACTCAAGCAAACTTTTAGCTGCTTTGGTCATGCTCGGTTTGGCAATATTGAAAGATATAATAGGATCCTAATTAAAGAAAAGTATCATCCAATTCTTCAAGGACATGGAATTTCATCTGGTACAAAGATGATCGCACGTCTAACTACATGATAATCACCCTAAGCACATGCACATCTTCTATGTGCCAGAAATCGTTTAGAAGCAAACTCATTCTGGTGATCTCGTTGTCATGGCTTTCCACCTCATATTCCAGATCTAAAACCTATGGAGCACTTGTAG